TATTATTCACTTTATATCATATTTTAATAAACAAACAAACGCATATTTTCATCAAGAGATAATACTCGGATTAGTTTGAAATTCAGATTACTTCTTAAAATATCTTTCAAACACATATGCGCTGTCCATAGACTTTAATATTAAAATCAAGGTGCAATTAATTGGTTAGTAATCAACATGTAAATTCCTTGTTGGAACATTTTTGTTTGACAACATCTTCAAATTATGACTAAAATATTGCCGACTTGGCGTAGAACAATAAAAATTAATCAATCAAAATATTTTGCTACCATGATTTAAAATATTGGACTATTTATTTCTTAGGTACAAAATATGGTCGTTATACATTGTATAAACTTTAAACAAAGCTTTGCAGTTTTTGAATATTCAGTCAACTGAAGTTAAGACGTACTGATTTTTCACATTGGGGTTGCAACCCACTTGTATACAAAAGTGTTTACAGAGGAAAATATTACGCAGATCGGAAGGTGGCAGTAGGGCGCCAGGGCTGTGTATTGAGCAAAATAAAAAAAAAAAATTAGATACGATACGATACAATAATTTTTTTTTTTTTTTCTAAAGATATATGCGATATATTGGATTCTATTACAAGTCAATCATAAAAGGCTTATAAATCATTTAACGTATGAATTTCATAAAAATTAAGTGTTTCATTGTCATTACAACTTACACCTCAAATTAAAACTTTTAATGACTATCAAATCAAAACTTTTAATGACTGTAAAATCAACATTTTAAATTAAAATTGTCTATGCTTTAGTAATAATTCTAAAAACTGTGTTATTGCCTTAAAAAATTGAATGATTATTTAACAGATTTAATTAGTGAAATATGATCTTTGGTGATTGAAGTTCCAATCTTTTTAACAGAATTAGAAGAAAAAATGCCTGTCCGATACGTATTGGAAGTAAATTTTCGATACGATATGTTTCTTGTATATTGATACGTATCGATAAAATGATAAAACCCTACAGTCAGCAGCCTGCAAATCTTACATAAGACCATTGTTGTAAATTTACCTTCTGTTTATATATATGTTTTATATTATGACACAACTTTGCAATTCAAATATTGCTTTGACATTTACTTAGTATTCCCACAAACTTTTATTACATATATGGTCACATATTTTGCCTCAAAATAATTGATATTAAAATTGCCTTGCAAATTTAGAATGACAGAAGTGTAGACATAGGATTAATAGTGCATGTGCTACATTTGTGGTAAGTAAGTTTAAGGGTCGTGGTGCATCAATCAGTTATCCACATATTAGGACGCATTGCAAGGGAGATACTGGAGTTTTTCAGATTTGGGAAACAATTTTATTTATACTTTGAGAAATGATATCAATTGTGTAATTTTGTTTTGTGAACATTTCTGCGATGCTTGTCATGAGCCCCATTGTGTGCGAGTTGCACATTTATCATTTTCAATGCAATTTGCATTAATTTTCAAATTTCAATCTTAAGGCGCAATTTGTGCCTTTCACTTACCAATTTGGTTATTTGGTGCGATTTGTACCTAATTTGTGCACGATTTGTGCTTTTATTGTTGATCTGGGTGCCAATTTTAGTTTGGGTCATGCGACTATGTCCCTTGACCCATTTGGCTTAATACATATATTTTGGTACGATTTGTACCTAATTTGTGCACGATTTGTGCTGTTGTTACTTTGGGCCGCAAAATTGCCGCCCCAATTTTAGTTTGTGGCGGATGGGTCACGTGACTTTGTCCCTTGACCCATTTGGCATAATTTTGCAAAGAATGCTGTCTCCGGGGGGTACTGTTTTTTCCAGACTCCTTGGATCAAGGTGGTATTTCTCTTGCTCATCATCTATATTCATTTACCTATGCTGCCATATAATCATAATGATCGGCGCATACATTGTGTTATATCTAATTTATTATTAAATGGCCATGACAAGCACGCCAAAACAAATAAAGTCTTCTTTTTATTGACTGTATTTTCCGACTTCGTAAACCTTTTACTGGGGTTAATCTGATCAAGTTTGTTTCTGTTATTGTCTTGGTCCAATGTCACGAAATAATGGGGTTTATCCAATATGGATAAACCTGGTTATTTCGTGCAGCTTATTGTTTTACATGCAAAGATAGATAACTCTTAGTTTCTTAACATTGAACGTCATAAATCATCGGGCTCGGTGCTTAAAAAATTCTTGATATTTCTTGTATGCGCATGTCTTCTAGAATATTCCTTTTGAATCTGTAAATTGAACGAAGCAGACGCAAAGATTTTTTAAAACCCACCCTCCCTCCCCTTAATTTTATATTTTATCCCCCTTTAGCACCTCTGCCATTCTTCTAATGCATTTTCATTACAACTGTTTTTTTTCCGGTTGTTTTTTCGTTTTCTTTTAATTTCTCGTTTCAGCGTCATGGCATGGATCGAATCTTGAATAGGATCCACCAGCTTGTTGATGTGCTTTGCGGACCTTCGATGTTGATGTGCTTTGCAGACCTTCAATGTTCCAGTTGTGTGTGGCTATTGACTTTGTTAGGCATAATTTTGCAAAGAATGCTGTCTCCGGGGGGTACTGTTTTTTCCAGACTCCTTGGATCAAGGTGGTATTTCTCTTGCTCATCATCTATATTCATTTACCTATGCTGCCATATAATCATAATGATCGGCGCATACATTGTGTTATATCTAATTTATTATTAAATGGCCATGACAAGCACGCCAAAACAAATAAAGTCTTCTTTTTATTGACTGTATTTTCCGACTTCGTAAACCTTTTACTGGGGTTAATCTGATCAAGTTTGTTTCTGTTATTGTCTTGGTCCAATGTCACGAAATAACTTTGTCTTTTGGTTATTTTTACAGTTATCAGTATTTTCAAGTGAGGTCAAAACAAATTAAGGGGCCTCACAGAGTCTGGTAAATCTGTTTAATGTTTGTGCGACATATTAAACATAGACACAAATGGCCAACTAAGAAAATAGGTATTCAGCTTTTATATCATCATATTTTCCTGTCTTTGCAGTTACAGCTCACTTCGTAGACAAAATTTATGTAAAAGCAATGACTTAAAAAATGGTCTGATGCAGGACAATCAAAATATGATTAAAAAATATACCGAAAGAAAATTACTGAAATACTAGGTATAGTGTCAAATTGAATGTTTTAGTTTATTTTATATTAATAATGCAGCAACACTGAAGCAAGATACATTGTTTATAAGCATAGAAATATGATATATTAAACAATGTATTAATAGAATATCATTTTCTCAATCAATTTTTATTAAGATTGAGAATAAATCTATATAGAATCTTTAAACATTATTGTTAAATTACCGTATCATATATATGATACATGTATATATTTCTGAAATTCTACCTTTTAACTTTGAGAATTTTTCTTTTTATTTTATGAGAATATATTGCTAAAACAGAGCATTGTAAAGTTTGAGCTAGAAACATAATAAAAACAATTTGGTCACAGACAATTTAAGAGTTTTTCTTGGTTTGTTCTATGTCCAATATACCTTTCTTTGTACCAAACACTGTAGCGTAGTGGTAGGGTATTCGCTTCGTGATCAGGAGGTTAGGGTTTATTTTTTGTTGGCAGCGCTGCTTCAAACATTAAACGTAAACATATATAGGAAACAACTGTTTCTTCCCCAAGCACCTGGCACTAGAAATAAAAAATCACGTCCTTTGGTTGAAACCATAAAACCGTTTTGAAGATCACCAGTAGACGTTGACAAAAAAGAACCCTCATAGCCCAGTTGTGTCGAGTATAGGTCTGAATTTGAGGCCCTTCATGGGTATATTGTAATGTCTTTTAATTAAGTTAAAAAGCTCGTATGGGACTTAGAGCTACAGTTGATCGATCGATCAATCAAATCAATATTCTTTATCGTATGCTTTAACAAAACACTCAACAACAATTATTGCACACATTTATTTGATCAAACATGCTTTTGTTCTTAAATAGCATTAGCTTATTATTTACAATACAGTGAAAAAATAAACATGTTATATAACTAAACATAACAATATTTTTAATAGATTTTAACAATTCATTTTCCTCAGATGATAAATTATATTTGTGATGAACCTTAAAATTGTTTGGAAAATTTCTTATTACTTAAGATATTAGCATTATGAAATATTCTAGCTGTGCTAATTGATAGTCCACTTTATCCAGAGAATTTATTATATCTTCAATATCAAAACGCTATTTATTGTCTTTCAGCATTATGCAATACCTAACTTTATTCACTTTTGAGTAAGTCTAAGTCAAAAATGGTTTGTTCAGCACTGAGAGCAATTTCAGTGTATCAGAATTCTTAACACATGATTCCATTTCATTAGAAAGGTACATTTAAAATAATGAACATAAAACGGAAACAATGGGTTTGGCTTATAATTAAGCCAAAGCGGGTGACAATTGCAACTTATTTACGTGATAATGTATCTATGTTTAGCAAATTCTTTGACGATAATTACCGTAAATCTGGAAAATTTTGCTGTAGATAAATTTTTAGCAAATTTGCGAGTTCATTGCATTCGCAAAAATATTTTTCTTAAAAATAAATTACCAATAAGAAAATGTAAACAAAGCAGTGGTCATTCGCAAAATTTTGAAACGTAAAAATTATTCAACTGCATTTTGACCCAAATTCGCAAAATAAAATCGACGTAAAAATTTCCAGATTTACGGTAGTATGCCATACATTTTTAAGAATGTTATCAATTAAAATAGTACTTTATACAAAAATTTAAAAATAAATATTTTGTCGGGCTAGCAAGTGATACTGTATACAGGGATTTTTTCGCCCCCGTTCTATTTTCGCCCCATTTCGCCTTACCCTTATCTTAGCAAATTTAAAACGGTACTAATTAAAAGAATACGGTATGATTTCTTAAACAAAAGTATGACTGGGCGAATTTAAAGCGGGGAAAAATTGTCTGCAGGTGTAAAAGGGCGAAAAAAATTTCAGTTTTCTTATAATTATGTTGAAGCTTGTGTTTGCTCTTCTATGGTTGCTATCACCTGCACCTGGTTTGTAGGCTGGAGTTGAACTTGTTCCACTCCAGAATCTTTTTCCAAGGTTTCAAAAGAGTCGATATCATTCTCAAATCCATCATTTTGTCCTATAAAACATACATCATTTGAAATTTTATTTGATAAAACCTTTTTAAATTATATATGATGCGTTTGGTACAAAAAATAAGTACAACTTTTTAAGCTAATTTAAAAAGAAGGTAAGTGATTGTTCTCTCAGTTTGCATTGTATATATCCCTATGCGGTTTTGATCTTAAATACTGCTCGTCATCTTCATATTTTTAGGAATGGTCTTAAAATACTCATTGATACAGTGTGATTGAAAGGAAAGCATTGAGTTGCACTTAGAAAATGATTCTTTTTGTATATTTTTACAATCCTTACCTCCCAAATCGGTTACCATGGTATTACCCTTCGTGGTATGTCGTTTGCGACGTAGGATCTGAGTTATTGCATACCGGAAGCCTTTGTTAAACGTCATGTACAAAATTGGGTAAACACAACTACTGGCATAGGCAACATAGTAAGAATAGAAACTGTACTGGTGAATACCCTTCGGCAACTAGATAAAGAGAGAAAGAATTCAAAATCATATTTCTAGATAAATATATTTTACATATAGCGGATGAATATTTGCAGAAATATAAAATGATTACTTTCGGAAAATTCCGACGAAAATGTATTTTTAGGAGGCTGTGGACCTAAATGGATAAAATTTGCAGGAAAATTTTAATTACTCTTTTATTTCGTATTTTGATATTCAAAATTCAAATCAAACCTTAGTATGTAGTGTTCTTTCCCTGAAAACATCCCACAGCATGAGAAATTGTTGTGGAGACCAGCAAAGGAAAAATACTATTAGAACAGTGAATACATAGTGTAGGGCCTGAAAATAGATAATTTAATATGCTTAAAATAATGAAAGACATTTGAATAGGTGAGATTTAAAGATGGGTGTTTTATGAAATATTTCAAAGCATAAATAATTAGGCCTCCAGCTATCTGAAACTTTTTAAAGTTGGTAGATATAAATTTCAATTCTTTTCCCCTTAAAATCTCTCCAGAATGCTATGTTTCCGGATTCTTTTTGTCCTTCTTCCTGAGACTCTACTGTTACTTACCCTTCGTTTCATCTGACATCTAATTCTAACTTCCCTCTCCATGCTATCATTTGGAATATCTGTACTTCGAAGAGAAATACTCATGAGGAAAAACATCACAAGGACCGGAAGAACATAACCCAGTAAAGAAAATATTGTCACATATGCTCTTCTGGCTTCCATAGATGGAAAATGAGCCTGACACAGACGTTCATGACCTCCGATCCAATTAAACTCCGAAAACTTGGTGTAAAAGATGTATGGTAAGGATAAAACAAGGCCCGAGATCCAAACAACAAGCATGACGATGATCACGTGGTCCTGGGTGTACTTCTGAAGAGGTGAGGAAAACGTTGCCAAGAAACGGTCAAGGACAGTTACTGTCAAGGTGAAGTTGCTTACACAGACGACAAGAACTGAAAAATGAAACATGTGGAGCGTATTCGATTTGATTGGTCCCATAAATATTTTCAGATGGAATTGAACTCGAGCACCACATCTTATAATTTGATCGTTTTAATGATTATCACAGGTTCATTTTTTTAAAAAAGAAAATCAAATTAGAACCAACGAAGCATTAGTTAAAGTAGGTCACTCGTCAACTTTTTAGAAAAGTTCACGCAGAACCTCTTGCTACAAAACTTTTCATTTAAATTCAATTTTTATAACATATTTAATTTCAACAATGTTTATGTTTTAACATTCAAAGAAAAAACTGCTCAAAAAGCTACAAAGAAGCAAGATTTATGGAGGACTACTTCTTGTGGTGGAAGGATATTTAGCAGATAATTCTGCAAATCTGCACATTTATTAAATCTAATAACTTGGAACTTAAGCCTCACATACTTTTACTCGGAGAATATTTTTTCATTATGATATTGCAAGGAATATTTAATATAGGTCTTAATTTTATTTTATTTTAAGAACAAGCTTTACACCTTCCTTCAAGAAACTTTGCCAAAAAAATGAAGATATGTCAAATAAATCAAGATAAAATTTACACCATTTTTCGCCTGAAAATCACATATTTTGACTAATATTTCAAAATTAACATCACTGACCCCAACTTTTTCTTGAATTATTTCAAGGTACTCGATACTTGTGACCGATCAGCACTTAAGTCGTAAAAAGCAAATGTTTTATTGCGTATTTAGTTTTTTAATACCCCAAAATATGTTACATTTTAGTGCAAAAAGGTCACACAATAATTTACGGGCATTAATTTGCAAGATTTGTTCATGATAAATATTATTCAAAATATGTTATATAAAATAAAATCATATTTATTGCCATGGTTACATCAGATAATATATGATAAAGGTTAAAGTAATTAATCAAAGAGTTAAAATTTAGGTGTAAAAAGGTCAACTTCATTGTACCGTAGATCAGTAAGATAAACACTGACCCCCTATTTGCTCTGCGATTTTGAGTCACTCTATATGAGTACTTATCCAAAATATACTTCTCAAAAAATCCTTGATTTAACAAATTTCACGAGTGACATACCTTAAGCAATTTCAATCTTACAAACATCAACATTTGAATACGTCATGAACCGTATTGAATTTGAGTGAAAGATATGATGTAATCATGTTTTTTTTAATCATAAATAATTTGTGATTTAGCCCTCAGGAAAAGATCATATCAGGCATCAAGGAAGGATCAACTATTATCTGCATTATTCAAAATTAAGAAGAAGATTGATTAATATAAAACAACATTTCAAAATGCAGCCCCAGACCATGAACTGAACTAGACTTAAGTCAAATTTTAAATCAATATCATTTTTAAATAAATTTTGAGAATGAAACAAAATTTTCCATGTGTGTGTAAATTTGTCTATTACACAAATCTGTAAACTTTTTTGCACATATTCTACATGGAATTCATGATATTCAATAACACAATTTTGACTGAAGTGTGTTCTAATTTTATTGTCTTCAGGCAGGTTCAACTAAATATCATTTCTTAATAAGTTTAATAATGACGTCATTTCCTTGTTCATCAATTCCTATTTTTATTACATAAGATTTTTTTTGAAATAAATATTTCATTGGAATTATCATCGTTGTTAGGTGGTAAATGTTTAAAGTTAATGAATTCAGAAGAAGGTGAGAATGTTTACATGTTTAAAGTTTAATTAAATTCAGACCCGTTTCATTGACAATCTATTTTTAGTTCTTGTCGTGATAAATTGTGAAATTCAAATCAAGATAATCGCTAAAGAGATATAAATTTGACAGAATTCAATAAATATGAAATCAATATACTCCCACACCCTGATAATGTTGGAGAAGTTTCTGTCCAAGATAGATTTATATGACGTGTTTGGACTTTGTTCATAATCTTTAAGTACACTTTTAATACACATTCGATATAGGACCGAATGGTTTCTACCGCCCACTATTTAAACAGGTAGTCTAAAGTACAAGTGATATGAGTTTCTTGAAAGTGAATATGATTTCATTAGGGTGGGCCAACATCATGTTGTAATTTTATTTTAAAATGTTTCAATCATTTCTTTTTTAAAATAAACAAAAGTATAAATATTTTTCATGAATCTAATCGTCTCAATAGTTTTTATCGTTTTATTATATGTATACCAGACATAAATATATTCTAATATCACACCGTGTTAGAAAAAAAAATATTAAGACAATTTTTAAAAGCCTTGCTGATTAATAATAATGAAAACCGTTGAAAATATACACCTTTAAATTACAATTTAAAGATCCTTTATAAAGAAGTTATATATTTTTGTTCAAAGGCAAAAGTGTGCAAAAACGTTTGCTTTCTTTTAAAAAGGTCCATGTTTTTCTTTTAATTCAGACAATAAACATAAAATATTTTCCTCTTTGAATGAATTACATACTTCAAGAAAGGATTTGTTACATTATTTTAAAGAATCGTTAACTTTAAATATGCCTTGATTTTTCAGATGAATGAAATATATGCATTTTAATGAATTATATCATCATTACCCGTCCCCCCCCCCCCCCCCCCGAAAAAAAAGTCCCTTAAAATTATTTAAAAAAAAAAAACCCAAAGGAAACGAATTTATAAATGAAGATCCACTTTACCCAAGAGGTATTACAGTCTTAGTCATTAAAAACAATTTTGTAGTTATTTGAAATCTGATAAATTTCAACATTTTTTATAATGGAATCTTAAGATTCGTTTTTATTTAATATATTGAGAGAGATTAAAAGAGATGAAAAAATGCTTTGAACAAATAAAATTAATTTCTGAATGTTTTGCTTTAATTAGAAATATTTGAAGTCAACAATAAAGCAACATATTTTGGAATATTTTTATGATCTAATTTTGAAAATAAGGTAAAAAAAATTCTGAATGTGATAGTTTATCAAAATAAAAGCCTTATTTTTACCATGAAAATCTACATGTACATACAAAGAAGATTTAAAATTCTTCATGTAGTGTACCATATATATACATGCATTAAAAATTTGTAATTAACAAAATGTTGTATTAGGGGAAGACTATTCAAGTTTCCGTTAAGACCCTTGGGCCTCTTGTTTTAGCTAATAAGAGGTATTCTGGTCACCCATTGTCCGTTCATCTAACTGTAACAAAATGTCATCCTGAATTGCGTCTGATCCATTTCCCATTTTGTCAATAAAGATATGTTCAATTTAAATTTCTTTACAAAAACTTCATTGATGATATTTTAGGAGATATGACAAAAATATTACATATCAAACTTACTTTTACGAAAATATCTACTACAGAAATTATACTTCAATTAGTTATACGATTTGATTTGAAATAAATGGCAGTTCAATTAAAATTGTCAATTTTTCTACAAAAATGTTTGATATTTTTCCCGGTATACCTCTTTGTCATTTGTTTATATAAAGTCCCGAATTTCAGTGTAAGGGATTTTGTGATAAACTTTCAGGACAGATTGATGCAAACTAATCAGCTACTTGGAGTTGAAACAAAGTCAAGCCCTTACAATTATTTATATGCCTTCATTTCCAAATGCATTCAAAAATCAAATTTTTATGATGCTAGTAACATAAAATGAAATACCTTGCAAGAATATGTTAATTTTACAGAAGAAAGGTCCAAATCTCCATTGTCCTTTGTCTAAATGGAAAATTAGATGAAGCCACATACAGAATGTTGGAATTAGTAAATTCACGAAAGAAAAGTTCACCACAAAAAAGTTGAATTTTGTTCTCAGACTTTTGGCACTTAAGACAACAGCAATCAAGGAAAAATTGGCAAAAAATGATAGAAACATTGTAAACGCATACAAGTAAATCTGAAACGTTCTTTCCAAATTAGAAGTGTCACTGTCATCATTTTTTAAATTAATCGAAGAATTCGACAATAACCGTCGTAGTGCTGCGAAATCCAAATGGGAAAGATTCATGATGTGAAAGTCTGTGGTGTCAATACCTCCAGGAATCAGACTTGTCCTTATATCAACACTAAAATAGTCCTAAAGGAAGATCAAATTCTTATACTGGTAGATAAGGCGTAAGAAGTGAGCTATTTTGGGATGTCCCGTCTCATGGTAAATCTAATTTTAGGTGTTCGATAAAGATTTGGACCAATTTTTAATGTTATCCCAAAACTTGTTTTGCTTTTGAAATTCAGCCCTTCGGAACAATGTACTGATGTGTTACTTTGATTAATTATTAAAGTGCATTTATGATACATTTAACTTACGGGAAGTTATATATGAAAAGCATTATTTATAAAAAAAAAATGGACAGGTACTTGATTCACTTTTGCCCCATATCAAAAGCATGAAGACAAATTCGTAGGTTCCGAAACGTCTGTATCAGGGCTGATACAATACTAGGTACATGTATATATGATATAAACAAAAGTCGCAATTGTGCATAATTAATTTAAAGCATACATATGTTATATTCTAAATGTAGGAGTACATTCTCTTCAGTAAAAACAAAAGGAATTTTTTCTGTTTTTAAATATAAAGACATTAAAAATAACTTTTACTGCATTGGATCTTCCTTTTATAGTGCATATTTTCTGACTGTTGTATCTAAGGAACTTTTTAGTAGGAGTGAAACATATGGAGATAACGAACAGTTTTCAAAAGCAAAAGTGCATAAACAATACGAAATAGGAGAAGAGCAAACAAGGACCTCCAAAACATCAGAGTTGAAATCAGGTGTCATGGAGGAGTGAGCATCCCTTGCCAATCGGTCACATCAGCCATGTGCTCCTTGTCATGATCGGGAAATAACGGAAAAAAAACCCGTCGTCAATTCAGTGTATAAATAATGGACTAACAATTTGTAGGAAAACGTCAGTCTACATTTGACCCAAAGAAAAAATAACATTTGCTGACAAGGTCATTATATCGACCATAGAACTTACGAAATGATGACTTTAAACGAGACTGTTGATATTCTTGTTTCATCAACTTGTTCGTCAATAATTTACCTCGTTTGAGAAATTGTTCAATTAATTAAGAAGGAGTAAAACATAGAACAGTTGAAATGCTAAAGTCACATAATTTTTAGTTTATCAGGATGCATCGGGAGACGTTAAGATGGAAAAAATCTTTTGATGAATAATAAAAATGAAAAATAATAAAATGATGATCATAATGTGCAGATATAAATTTCATGTTCTTCTTGAACGTTGCTTGCACAGGTAATGGGCATAGAGATAATCATTGTTAATACTTTGGTGTCTTTTTCGGATTAAAATAGAAATATTTTAGAGATGTAATGGGTAATAATCCCAAATTATATCTGTTGCGAAAACAAGTCATCTTGATTCTCAATATTTACATAGGCCTTAATAAGGTGAGAGATAAGAACAACACTGTATGTTTGTCCTATATTTTGATTTGATTTATATATATATAAAATATTCATATTAAAGGTAAATCTGAAATAAGGATATTTATACTTATTTCCTTTATTTTGATGGGATTTTAGATATATATAAGTACAATATGTAATTCTTTTTTCATTTTTTTTTTCTGCACCTGACAAGATAGGAATACACGTGTTGAGAATATTTAAATCTAAGGTAAATCTGACGCAAGAATGATAGATATTATATTCCTTATTTTGATATGATCCGGAATATATATCATGTGCAGTTTTTCAAGATATTGTTGTGCACCTGAAAACAACTGAAATATTGTATATTTTTTATATAAAGAGAGTTTTCAATATACACAATCTCAATTTTTGAGAGCAAAACGAAGGGAATTGAAAACGTGAATCAAGGTAGCACACTTTTCTAAATCATTTTATCTTTGCATGAAATATTATTTTTGAGTTTTCAACCTTTTTTGCTCACTCCTTTTAATCGCTACGATATTTATCTACTTATGTATTCACATAAAAAAAGTTCCAGTCTCAAAAAGAAAAAAAAATCTTAGATAAATTTCAAATAAACGAATTGTAAATCAAGGTTAGTTTATAATTTTTGATTGAATGAACATTTTGAAATGAAAATAAATAATTAATGTCAAGTGCTATGAAAGTTATTGACATTTACCAATGGTTTTGATCAAGATAATCCTAAAAATAAGGAAATGTCTGTATATCTTCAAAAAAAAATTTGCTGAGGTGCAGTTTCGGTTGTACTGTTTTACAAAACATTGCGAATGACTTCTGACTTTAATTTCTTGATTTCTATTTCATGTTTTTTTTTAGAAATTGAATCATGTATTAATTATAAATATAAAGTATGAGAAGAAAGGATCTGTTTTTGGTTTTTGATGATGATCAAATTGTTTCATCTTTTGGTAATTTGATGTTTTAACTCCTTCGACTTTTTTAAAAGTATCACGAGAGCAAAAAAAAAAAAAAAAAAAAAAAAAAAACCACCCTAGAAACTTGATAGTAAATCACTGAGTCAAATGCTCTTTTTTCATATTTATTGTAAGGCCGTTTTTTATTCAATGAATTGTCGACTGCTTTTCCTTAATATCCCCATTATGACAAGTAGCACACGGCGGGTGTGACCGGTCGGCATGAGGTGATCTTCTCCGTTGTGTCCACATCTGATGCATCGGAGGTCTGTGTTTACTCTGCCCCAATTTCGTATTGTTAAGTGGACTCTTAAGATTGAGTTGTTTGTTATCTCCATATATATTTCATTCCTAAAACGAACACTTTGATTCGTCTACATCTTTCTTCTGCCTCATTTCTAAAATAAATCAGAGCTCTGTAAAGAAAAGGTCAGTGTTTTATCTCTCTTTATTGGCAAAATGTTGTATGGTTTCTTAAGGGCCTTTATCTCCATTAACCTTGTGAAAAGATTTAATTTTACTTCTACCTCACTAACTGTTTCTCACTAGGATCTTAACTTTGATCTTAACTTTGTCTGAGAGGGAACTTAAGATTTAATTCTCTAATTGGTAAACAAACGTTATATTCTAGCTTAAAATATTAACAAGATGACATGAATTTGATGGTTCCTTAATATCAAGAATTGAACGAAAAGTGCCCTCCTTTCCAAAACAATGAGTTCACAGTATGTCTTATTCAATTAAATACATATATAAACATTGTATGATTTCCATCACCTGTCCTAAGGTTATCCTGCCAAAAGGAAGTAGATAATAATAATATTTTGATAGTAAGACACGATTTAAGGATAAGCATTCCGGAACTGTCCGTACAGCACAATCTTATCTTTTTGTTTTTGTCTATGAACGTGGTTTCATCTTCCGCTAAATCTACATTTTATTTTAGGTGTAATTTAAAAGTGCTTGGGATAATAATTTCTGAGATAAATTTGCAAACACAAAACGTCATTTAAACATCCAACAAAATCATATTTAATTGGAAACATTTTCAACTATTTCTTTTCAGCTGTGCCACTTAAAGTTGATGGTGCATATCATTGCGTAGCAAAATGAGCCTTAAATATTTTTATTAAAATATTCAGATCTATTTGAAACGAAGGAAACAAGGATAACAACGGAATTACATTTTTATATCTTTACTTAAATAATACATAATTATAAAATAAACCTTTTTTCATTGGATAACTTTTAAAAAGTGTCAAATGTACATGTACTTCACTTCTAACGCCTAAAATAGCAGTGGACTCCTGTGGTTTAATAAAAAAATCTTCATACCGTATATACTCAAATATAAGTCGGGTTTTTTTTTGGGAGTTAAATTTTTGTCCAAAACTCTATGTCCGACTTATAGGCGAGTCATAAAAAGATTGGTATACAGTGTATTTCTTAACGGCGATATGTAGTACGATATTTTATAAACATTTCTGACGATTATCATTGAACAGAGTCTGGTTATATTATACAGGGTGTTTCACAATATATGTCACACATCTAAAGACAGATAGATAAATGACAACAAAAGCTGTATATACATTTTATATATCATTTTAATCAGCATATATTCAAAATCATTTTTTGGAGTCAGAAGTATCCAACACTCTCTTCATCAGTTACTATGGCAACCAATCCTAAAATGTTATTCTCCAAGTGTTTTCCCAACATTGTTATACTGTAATCGTACTTTTTTCCACGGGGTCATAATTCCGCGGAATCTCAATTTCTGTTTAATCCGCGGGTAGAAAATTACGCGGATTTCTTAGACTGTCACTATATGCCATACATTTATATTAAGTATGCTAGGACATATTTCCGCGGAAAGTTTGTGTTCGCAGACATTGCGTAAATTAATACCACGCGGAAAAAAGTACTTCTACAGTAAGTAAGTCATGAGACTAACGCTTAGACATTTCTGACCACTGTTTTGTAAGCTTCACAGGATACTTGAGACTTTTCTTGTTTAATATCTGGCTCTTTAGAACCCACAAAGTGCATATCTATTTCTATCTAAAGTTGTATTTAAATGAAAGTATCATTTCAGAACTACCGGTATGCGTTAACTAGTGTCCCCTTCTTTCGCTCTTCCTTTCAGTCAATCTTGCAAACTTGAACAGACTCTGAACGTCCATTGGCTTTAGATGCTGAAATTTTGTATGCAGACACACTTAACTCAAATTTAAGATTTCTAAATCATGAAAATACACTTGTAAAATACACTTTCCGGCATTGTTACAATTTATTTCCTTAAACTCGGATCTAACTTTTATGAGGTTTTCTCAGTGATTGACTTCATTTTGATATTGTTCTCATCTATTTTGATTTTTGTTGGGGGGGGGGGGGGGATTTAATTGTCTTTCATCTTTACATTAGAATTTAGTTCAAACTCTCTAACTATTCTTATTAATATATGAAAACTAGACAGCAATTTCTGATCTTGATATTTTTCATCATGGTCTATATTCAGATTATGCCCATTTAGATGTGTGACATATATTGTGAAACACCCTGTACATGTATCATATATGTATTTGAACACATAATAAAGTACAAGTATTTACATATTTTGATAA